TGGTGAAAACCTAGGAAATGCCGAATACTGAGAAAGACATTGACTCAAACAATTGACCACAAAGTCTGAAATCAATGAAGGCTTCGTTTAGAGATTGCACACGATTTCTTCCGTCTGCTTTCCATATTCTTCACTGGTGGCAATACCTTCTTTCCGAAGGCAGATCCCATATAGAATGTGAGAATCACATGTGGTTTGTAGTCTCCGGCTGAAAGATAATTGATTGCTCGACGTGTTTCTTCAACAAACAGACACGAGGTTGTTATTATAGAATTTATTAGGGTACAATTTGACGTTTCGGCGGTTTCGCCTTCTTCAGAGCCTGGAAAGGTCAAATTGGGATGCGATCTGCTCAGCCAAACACTTTCATAACCCCAGCAGATAAAACTTAACAAATAAATTTGCATTCGTATAAGAAACAGCTTCATTTAAACACCTACCGTTTACTTGATGTAAGTATTTAAGTTAGTTGATGGATAGCAGCCGCATAGAGTAATATATGGGCGATAACTGTGTCTGTGGCAGGCCATTAGATTAGTCTGAGGTATGGTGCCAGGTCACGTGTGATGACAAGAACCTCGCGGTTCATTTTTGAATTTTTGGAAGTGATCCAAAACGCTTCAAGAGTTTTACGCACTGAAGTTTTCTATTCGTGCGTGAGGATAGTGACTCCTACTTCAAGATCTCCATAGTGTTTCTCCATCCTATGCGCGCCTACTGGAGTGTTTGGTTTTAATTTAGATTAACCGACTAGGTGTTCTTTTACGCGGGCATTCAGCGGTGATCTTGCGTCTATCGATCCATCGTTATTCAAGGTTTTAGACCTATCATTAACTGCGTAGACGGGCCAACGGACAGGATAACATGGTTTTTAACCGTAATATTTAACCAGTTGTTGAAACACATTCCAGCCCATCCTACATATACCCAGATGTTTCTGGATCGTCTACGTACTGCGCAGCCCAACAGCGCGTGCGTGATGGAGTCCTTCGACGTTACTGCCGTTTATACAAACGTGTCGAATAACTCCGCAATGCAAGCCATATTCGAACTCCTTCTACAACGCGAAAGAGAAATAAACATGTATGGCTTCAAGATAGAGCACTTGATGGCACTCTTAAAAGAATGCTTTAGCTGCTCAATCTTCAGTTGGTCCGAAAAGTACTGCGCTCAAATAAGAGAGTTGGCAATGGAACAACGACTGGCTCCAAGCCTTGCCATTGCATTTATGTCTAAGGTGGAAGCGCAGGTGATTGATTTCGGGCCGCTGCTCTACTGTAGATATATAAATGAATGTTTTGTCCTTAATTCAACACAAGAGGAAATGGACGAATCTTTCGAGTTGTTGAATAAACAGTCAGAGTATATCAAGTTCACCAGAGAGAAACCGAAAGAAAAATGGCTTCCATTCCTGAACGTCCAAATTAACCTGCCAGAAAATGGCTACGTTACGAAGTGGTATCGAAAGCCAAGTAGTAAAAACATCTTGGTACATTACCTCTCTTCTCACTCCTCTCACACGAAAAGAGCGCTAGTAAAAAACATGTTTCGGACGTCAACCAACGTGTGCACGGGAAAAGAGCAGAGAGAGGAGTCCCGGAACTTGGCGCGGCAAATAGCCATTTTTAATGGTTACGAAACTGTATCTCGATGTAGGTGTAGAGAAAACCGTAGGTACCCCAACGATAACTCTAGCGACAATAAGCTTCCGTTTACACTGTCCTTCATTTCAAATGAAGTATGTGCAGCTATAAAACGCTACTTGAGAAGGGCAGGTCTATACAATTCGGTAAACGTAGTTGAAATGCCACCGAGTAATCTTAGGCGCCAGCTAGTTCGTAACCGCCTATATGACTGTCTATGCGCAACGCAAAATTGCATAATCTACCCCAATGGTAAAGACGGTGATTGCATGAGCTCGGGTATAGTTTATCTGATCACTTGTAAAGCGTGCGGGGACGAATACGTTGGCGAAACGGGTAGACCACTCTGCGTGCGTATAAAAGAACAGCTAGTTGGCAAACGTAAACCAAATACTCCACTAGGCACGCATAGGACCCAGAGACATAACGGAGAAGATTTTGAAGGGTTACGATCCTCGCTCAAGAATCGAGAACACAAGCGCGCAAAACTCTAGAGGCATTGTGGATTAATTCCAAGAATCCGAAAATGAACCGCAGGGTGACATATTTAGTGTAAGACTCATAGAAAGCGGTGAGTGTGCAAAGACTGTGTTTAATGTGATTGAAATTTTGGTTCAGCATTTTTTCTGTTTCGTTATGGAGGTGTTTGGCCGTGTAGTCAACTTGACCTTTCCACGTTCTGAAGAAGGCGAAATCCGCCGAAACGTCAGCTTGTACGTAAATAAAGAAATAAAATAGCACCTCGTGTTTGCTGAACAGAAGTAGAAAGAATTGTTCAATCTACTCCCTGTGTTCGCAAACTACTCATCATTTCATCATTCCGAAATCAATTGCTGCGTATTGTTTTTCTCGTGCATAGTTTGGATGATTTTATGCAGTAACTGCGTAGCATGTCTAGTTGACCACAATGCTATCCATACGCGGGGTATGAAAGGGATTTTAGAAAAAGAGTTTAAGAACCGCTTAAAAAAGGCTTACAAAGGCTCAACTACCACAAACAGTACCTGGGACCGTCGTTGCCATTCTCGGTAGTCGCAATGTTTTTCTCCTTCACCGAATTTCTTCGTGTACTGTGATGCCGCGTGGGGAACAAATTGATGTTCTTGAGGAGTCTACGGATTAAAAGTACAATTAATGTGAATTTAAAGTGCCTAACTTGTCCATGATTTTTTGCAGTGTCATTCAACGGTTATTCCATCGTTATTCTATTCGTTTACATTAGAAATAAAGCAACAGATGTGCGTGCTGTGGTATATGAAGCATGTTCTGTTTCCTTCAAAGCTTATCTACTGTCTCACCTTCGGAGATGCCCTATCGCTAAATCTGCTGAGACACCTGTTCAGCTCCTCTGTATTAACCACTAATTAGAGGTCAACTACAACACAGCATTCATATATTTTCAAAGACAACGAAAATATACCATCCCTAATTCTCTTCCACTGCCTTCACTTTCAAGTGATTTGAAGCACACGATAACTATCGCACCATTTGCGAATGTAACTGGTTTCACTTATGCAACGTTCTAAGGCAGTAATCCTATCTATGAGAAAAGCGAACAAAGAAATAGGTTAGGCTTTATCAGCAAGGTTCTAGATTCAGCGGGATATTTGAAAAGAGCGAATGGGTCTAAGCTTAACCAAGAGCGCCTGAACAAACATTCCACGGTATTCCACAACGATTTATTATCCTCGGTCTCCCCTAATACGTACGTCCTGCATAGAAATAATTTTATTTTTACTTACGACAAAAGCTCTGAATGCGGTACATGGTATTTTATAAACGTGAATATGGTAAATGTAAATAGAAATCTACTATTTCCTTCTGTGGCTTCTTAGCATCATATTGTTTCTATAAATTTGGGATAAGCAAGAATGCAGGAGACCAAATTTATATAAGAATGATTCGGCTTGAACCTTTTTAGACCAACACATGTGTATTGTAATTAAATAAAAACAAATCATGGGATCAAAAGGTAGTTTGGTGTTCGTTTTTTATGTTTTAGTGTAGGGAAAAACGTCTGGCCCCTCTTTAACAACTGTACGCTGATCCTTTTTTGTGGTGTAAAGTGCAAGGCCAAATCAGAGGAAATGAGACATTTTTACCGCCGTCCGAATAACTTCGGGTAACTGTCAGCCACATAGGCTGAGATGACGGTGAGTGGAAAGAAGATGAACGTCAACAGTCCTTCCCAAACCTGCAAAATGAACGTCTTTTTATTGATAGTAGGCGTTTTAGAAAGAGACAATCCGAGGCTGCGAAATTTTTTCAGCCACATTACAACAATACCATTTTGGCAATAGCGTTTTCGATCCTAATAAAGAAAGAGCGGTAGGCCTTGCTAAGGCTCCAGAGCTTGGAAACAGCATTTTCAATGCTCACCTACGTTCGCCAATCACAAGACCAAGATTCTCTCACTGCTGCCAAGGTGTGATTTTGGGAACCGTGACAAGTGGGGCGTTGCCTAGTTTCTTAGCATTGCGGAATCGCTGACTTTTTGAGTGAAACGATAATTTTCAATAACAATAAGAATTTCAAAGCGTGCATGGTGGATATATTACTCTATTTCTTATATATCACTATGGTCTGCGATGCAACCATATTGTTGCCGACACTGGAAGTGTTATGCAATTACTTTGTGTCTATTTCTGTATTTTCTACTACATCAGATTTCGTAGGACAAGCAGGATTCATTGCAGCCTCTGGCCTTGAAGTTATAAACAATTACTAGGCAAATTACTGGTCAATGAACTTGTTCGAATGGATCACCACTCCATAAATTTAATGGAAAAGTGGAATCAGATCCTAGGATCCTATTACCATAGGAATAACACGTTACCTACGTGCAAAACAAACGATGTATGGATATGTAGCACTAGTAGGTCATCCTTATGATGTTGGACATGCCATCTTGCCGAGGAAGAATCGAAGAGCAACATAGGATTAGCGCTAAGCTTATGTCATACCAGCCTCTTCTTCGCACACATGAAAATCAATTAGTAAGAATACGAATCAGTACTGTACCTTGTCAATAGAATACCATCAAAGTTGTTTAGTTCAGAACTACGTAGAATCGTCAGTTGTCTGCTGGTTCCTCAACATCTATAGCATCTACTTTAGACAAGGGTTAGAGGATTGACAAGGCGTTCGATTTCACATGAATAACAAAGATTTTGAAAAAATGTGATCTTTGACACACATATCGCTGTGAGGGTCCATAAAGTGTCGCTACCAGAGTACATGGTGCTGTGCTATCTTTTTTCGTCAACATAAAGGCTGGTTTAAGGTTGACCTTTATAGCTTAAGGCAACAGCAGTCATGGTACTCTGCATAATCAAGAGTATCCGCTCAGTGCACGAAGTCGTTCACGAGGCGTGCAGACGACAATCTCGTTTTAGTATATCAGTAAGGTAAAGACTATTGATAATGGATTTCAACGTCAAATGAAAATCGGTACTGAAAAAAGCCGTCTTCAAATTGTTGATAATACCTTTTTTATTTCATTAAGCAATAGCGGTAAGGCGAGAATCCTGATCGATTCCGAAATCATATGTGCAAAGATAGTTCTTCTTTTGAGATTAACGATGTTTGTAAAAGCGAATTTTTTCATTTTTTGTACTCTATTTACGGCCAAAAAAAATATGTAGAGTAACTAACAGCTCTGAATGCTCCAGCTAACTCTCAAATAAATAGGAAAAATGAGCAGCTTTAGAGAACCTACTAGAGCATCAGGAAATAGATGCTAGAGTAAAAAAACATCTGGATCTGCCCTAGCTTTTGCTTACATGATTGTTTTGCATTAGCTTGCTTCTCAGAGATCTGCAATGTATCTAAACACAATGAAAATGACTATCGAGTTATACGAGTTATATTTCGTAACATACCCTGCCATTAAAAAGAAAAAGGCAGTAAATAAAAGGGTTAAGAAAATGACTATCGTTAGTGCGCAATGCGCAACAGAGAGGGTGATGCTGAAACACTTTTTATCACGTAACTGAGAGAAGGAAACCGGAGTTTCGTTAAACCCTGCAGATCAAAGATCAGAGAAGATGATGCACAAACCAAGGACCCTTGGAATTGAGTTTCAGAGGATGTCTAGCATAAACGATGCGTCGATCGGTCCTATCATTTTGACAAACAACGAGAGAACAAGTGACCTGACGATAGATGCTCGAGTTTATCATTTAACAGCTTGATCATTAGCTCGCAAAAGTAGGCTTCTCTGGCTAACAGATTCTAAGAAATTTACATGAAAAATCTAAACATATCGAGGATATTCCTCACTTTTCGCATTAGGGCCGCAAAGTTAAGGTGAAGTTATGTTATTGAAGTCAATATCATTATCGTCAGTCAGTTATCTGTACTCAATTTTCTTGGATATAGAGACATAGATATCTGTTTTGGTAGTGGTATATAGAAGCAGAACGCCAGAACGTTTTCATTGCTTTACAAACCTCCACTTCATTGGGGCTGAATACGCAGAGAATGAGGTACAGCCAAATATACGCGAACGTCGACCAGACCACCGTCACCCAAAACACATATTCGCGCTGAATTCGTCGCACTTGACCAGACGGAATCGCCTTCAAAACACTCAGTTTGTAAGAACTTTTTATTCAACGGGAAAATATGTGTTCCAGTTATTTCTTCACTGGATTCTCTACACCGAATATGGGAGAAGTGGCTGAAATACTTTTCAAATATGTATTCTTTCTTTGATGAGCTTACACGAGGTTGATAATGATGTTTATTTTCTGCTAACGTTTCGACGTCTTCGTCTTCCTCAGAGCCGATGATCCGAGTCGATGGTCCTCGCTTGTTATTCGCCTCGACGTGGCAGCTTCGCTTTCGTGTCGAGTTTGGTCTTCTTCAGTAAGCCATCTCCTCGAATGAGGCATCCTTAGTCAGTGGTGCCCTTTTATACACGATGCTGATGGTCGATATAATGATAATGTCCGTTGATAACAACTTGTTTTTCTTCCGGACATACATCATTGCGCACATCGTGCAGAAGTCGGTGTTGTTATCAGCTAGCACAAAGCGTAGTAATATTTCGAAACCGACTTTCCTTGAACCTCAGTATCACTAATCAATATATATTCTTTCTTTGATGAGCTTACACGAGGTTGATAATGATGTTTACTTTTTTTTGCTTTTCAAATACACTGACATATGAGGATGTGAAAAAGCTCGAAAGATGTGAACGTGCTACGAATTAGTATAATTGCCCTTGACGCTGCCTGAATATGTTTTCCTCTTGCTTAGTTAAAGCTAAAAATCTCCCGGCGTTGACCAATCTCTGAGGAATGCACCATGCATTCGACTTCATTAAGCATCGCTTGGAAGTGATTGAATACATATCTGCCCTTTATAATGACTCGCATTGGCATACCGGTGCATCGAGCCAGTGCTGCTATCCTCCCAGACAAGTCTGGGGCGAACTTTCAGACCCTGGAGGAGTGGAGGGCTTGGTGGGCCATGGGCGCGTTGATCGATTCCACGTGTGTGTTGCAGGACGCCTCCGACCACTGCGCCACAAGCGTCCCCAAGTTATATGTCTTGCTTAGTTATATCAAAAAGTCCAAAGTGCTGTTGTTGTTACTGTTCCCTTCGTCTTTTGTGGGAATATTGTTTAGTGTTGCGATCTCGTCCAGAATGTATTATATCCCGCAATCCCATCTCATTTTATTAGCTTATTAATGACTTTATTGCATAAAGTAGTGCTAATATGTCTAGCAAAAACAGTGCTACGATGCCCACTTTGTCTCCAAGAACACTGATTAAGCACTTCAGCTAGACGTCAACGTCATCGGAGGCCAGCATATGCCTCAGATTATCTACAGTTCATCTTTTTTGTTTACCAATGTAATGGATGGCCGAAGCTCTTCACCAAGATTATTTCGTCGATCACATCAAGGACGTTCGTTGATGCGCGACCAATTCAGGAAGCAGAAATTCGGCATGGGTTTTGCTGCATGGACCACATCCAAACTGTGTCCAGGGTCATTGAAGTCTGTCGGGAATACCACCTGCCCCTAGTCCTAACTTTTATCGACTGTGAAAAAAGGTTTTGACAATGACAAAACAAATGCAATCCCACTGTCGTTTGAGAAAACGAAGAGATCAAACTAAATGATACTGAACAAGCCTCGAAGTATGCTGCAATATCACATGTGTTCACAAGACACATTTGTTAAGGATAATTTTTGGATTGTTAGAATCTCTGCAAAATGCTTCAAGAGATTTACGCGCTCATGTTTTGAATTCTTTAGCGAGGACAGTGATTTCTTGTTCAAAATCAAGGTTAGACCCATCGTCAGTTGTGTAGACAAGCCCACGGGTTTAATGTCTTAGTTTATAAACCTAATTCCCAACCGGTTGTTGAACAACATCTCAGTTCATCTCACGATAACCCTAATGTTCCTGCATCTTCTACGTAAGGCGCTTTCTAACAGCGCGTACGTGATGGAGTCCTTCGACAATATCGCCCCTATGCAGACTTCTCGAACGATTCCGCAATTCAAGCCGTCTGCGAACTCCCTATGCAACAGGAAAGAGAAATAAACATGTATAGCTTTTCGATTCAGCGGCCTACATGCCTCTTAAAGGGGTTCCTGAACCGTTCAATCTTTAGGTGATCCGAAAAATATTACGCACAAATTGGCAGTGAAACAGTGACTGGCACTAAGCTTGGCCATTCCATTTATGTCTAAAGCGAAAGCATCAGTAATCGAACTCCTGTCCAAGAAGATGGAAGCACCAGCTATTGATCTCAGGCTACTACTCTAGTGTGCATGCATAGATTATTGCTTCGTCATTTGTTCCACACCAGAGGAAATGGAGAAATGTTTTGAGTTATTAAACCAACCAGTGAGCGTACATAATGTTTACCCCGAGAAAAAGCGGAAGAAAACTGGTTTTCATTTACCTATCCGAAAACAGTTACATCACCAAATGGTACCGAAAGCCAAGTAAAGAAACAATCTGGTTCATTACCTCTCCTTTCACTCCGCACACACGAAAAGGACGCTTGTGAGAAGCATATTTCGAACAGCCACCAGCGTATGCAGAGTAAGAGAACAGAAGAAGGAATTCTGGAAATTGGTGAGCCAAATAACCATTCACAATGACTACGAAAATATTGCTCTTCGGGATAGGTTTGGAGGATTACCCAAACCTCTTAACGATAACTCTAGCGATAATGAGGTCCCATTTATCCGGTCTTTCATGCCCAATGAAATAATTGCAGCTATAAAACATTCCTTAAGAAGGACCGGTCAGAAAATGTCAGTAACAGTGATTGAATTAGCAGCGACCACTCTAAGACGTCAGCTAGTTCTTGATCGCCTCTATGACTGCCGATGTACAACGAAAAATTGCACAGTATGCTCTAACGGTAGAGACAGTGTTTTAATGAGTTCGGGGACAGTTTATCTGACCTCTTGCAAAGCGTGTGGGGACGCATACATTGATGAAACGTGTAGAACACTCTGCTTCCATATGAAGGAACAGCTAGTCGGTTAAGTTAAGGCTAAACCAAGTGTTAAATGAGAGGCGCATAGAACACAAAGACAAAGAAGAGGATTTTGAAGTAGAAGTTAACATCGTTGCTTGGGAATCCAAAACATCAGCGCTTAATACTCTTGAAATATCTTGGATAAATTCAAAAAATTCAAGAATGAAACGCAAGGAGGAGTGCATTGTAACAGCTCGTGACCTAGCGTCATATCTCAAGCTGATTTTTTGAATTGACCTATGCGCATTCCTCGCTCATTTAATAGTCTGTGCGGCTGGTCACCACCAAATAACTGGAAGACTTACGAAGAACAAAAGGTTGAGTTACGACCACTATGACTGACCTCATTGCCGATTTGTGCTCCTCAGGTCAATCCCATTGACGGGTGTTTGCTGATGACACAGTTATATAGAAAAACGGCTGAGAGAAAGTCAAAATAAAGGCCTCAGTGCTGCCGTTTGCAAAACGTGAGCTTCCAGAAACGGTAGTTGTAGGCTTGAATCTGTACTGGGGTTCAGTTTTGGAATTATCTCGACGTCACCCTGTTTGCATTTCAGTACAATATCAGTGTTCTAAAAGCTTTCATTTGGTAACAAAAGTTTAGGAAAATAGTTCCATATGTTGAAGTAAACCACTGGAAATAAAATGAGACCAATGGATGTTTTACCAGCCACTCCCGCAAGAGCATTGTGACTCCTTTAGGTGTCACTCATCACGAGAATGTTAAGAAAGGAAACTATGACTTCCTTCTCTGCTTCAGTAGGAATGAGTCACGTTTAGCACAAACATTTATATGTCCTCAATTGATCTATTTCAGAATTACATTTTAGCTTCATCCTTTGTTTTATTCTTCGTATCTAACAATAGAAAACACGCTAGGATTCGCTATGAATCTCACTAAACTTACAAAAATGCAAAAGGCGATGATGACGAAAAGATTGAAGGCTGCTGATCCAACAATTGTACTGGGACCTAATTCACCTAGAAAAGACCAAAATAACTACAGCGCTCTGCGCAGCAATCCGGAAAATTTGACTAAAGAAAATAAATCAAACCGCAAAGTTTGCACAAAAGGAAAATAACATACCTGCTTCAAAATTGTTTCCAAATATTTCTACCACGGACAGAAGAATCTCTGGTGCCGATGATCCTAAAAGAAGAACTGAAGATTGTTAAATAGAAATGAAATGAAACATAAAGACATATTTACTTATGTGATCTTGTAAACTGATCTTCTTAAGCTGACGCGAGGTTGGTACAGGTATTTGTGTTTCGAGTTATTAAGAAACATAAAGAGTTTCAATATTGACCAAATTCTAAAGGATGTGCCGTGTATTGGATTTCGTCGAGGAATACCGTGGGTTAATAAATTTATATTTTACCAATACAATGACTTATATGGGCCTTCTGATGTATAGATTCTATGTTTTTATCCGACCAGACAACTTCAGTGCCCTTGTAACGACCTTGATAATAAATGGGAGGGATGAGGATAGATAGCACGATAATCTTTGCTAGAATAAATTTCACATCATATGGGTTTGCGGAGGTTGTTGAGCGTGTTGAGGGTTTGGACTATTTTTGAAAAAAAGATACAGTGGATGTTAACGAGATGAAAAATACTAACATTCTCATTAGTGGAGGTATTCGTCAGTCCTTCATTTTTTTCCACTTATACTATTTTTTTGTAAGGCCGCGTGTGGCGCAGTGGTTGGTCGGAGGAGCACTGCAACACACGCGTGGTATCGATCCCTGCGCACATGACCCACCAATCCTTCCATCTCTCCAAGGTCGGTAAATTGGTACCAGACTTATCTGGGAGGACAGCAGCAGTGACTCTATACAACGGTAGGCCACCACGAATCAATGTAAAGGCCAGATATGCATTTAATCACCTCAAAATGGTACTTAATGAAGTCGAATGCATGGCGCATCCTTCAGGGATTGATCAACGCCGAGAGCTTTCTTATCCTTATTTATGCTACTTGTTCGCTTTCACTCAGAAGTGCAACGCACAATCGGTGTTTTTAACCGGAATAACTTGTTTGATTCATTGGTGCATAGGCAATTCATACATTGCTTAGCGTTCTGGGGTACGCTAATTGAGATAAGTTATAAATAACTCATTTTTCCATCGGCCGACTATTATGCCACATTGAGCTTTTGTGGAGCAGTTTTCGTAACCATTCCATGGAGCATCCAACCCAAAGTCTGGGTCATTTTTTGAGGTAAAAAGCTCATTCCCTACTTTGGAATATACTTAAGCCCTTTTTCCTGACGAGTTCACTGGCCGAGAAATGAGGTGCTAATTGACTGTCATATCATTCCAAACATTATGGTTGATCATGATTCTTGCATGCATTGGTGGAAAATAACAAATGCTGAAGTAGAAATAATATGAACTATAAAACACTTCCAAATACTGACAGCAATGTGTCCACATGGAAGATCAAAGCAACATGTACAAAATGCAATGTATATCATGCATTCACCTAGAGGGTGACAACAATGTCAACTTCTCATACCCTCTAGGCGTAGAAAAATGTCTGCGATCTAAATATCAGTATGTTCGGAACGTCGTGAAAGCAGACGCCATCACACTTGTCCGCCAGACAAAACCGTCAGCATCGTAAGGTTAAAAACATATTTTGTGAAGCTAATTCCTAAGCGTGGTTCTCATTTCAGTTCTCTCGTATGACAGCTGGGAGTTGTCATGTTGTTTTCACCTATATTTTTAGAAAGCGAGTATCAGAATAAGTTGCAGATGAGAAGAAGTCTACCAAGAGCCATAAGCGTTAGATTGCTGACGGTCTCATTCCAGACGCGAATTAGGATCGTATACGGTTCGCCAGTGATCTTCCTCATCTTCACCTCTCTTTCCTGTGATGTGATCACCTCAATCGCCGCCATGAATCTGGAAAAACAGTCATTCATTAAAAAAAATATTGTTGAGTGGGTAGCAAAGCCAATCTCATTGCTGTATGGGTTCTACTTAGAATGGCATACTTCATCTGCGCTAGAGTATAGCCTTTCGTCAGCTTTGATGTTTATCTATATGTGAAGATTTTTGAACAAACCAAGAAACAAGTCTGTATTCCGCATCCACTTTCGGATTGGTATTAAACGAATTCTGAACTGGCAAATTTGAGCCATTTACTGATTTCGTTTGGTGTTACTATACTATGAAACTGGAAAAGTAAGTCATAGTCGATGTTTGGCCAACCCAGGAGAAGGTGAAGGTCTCAGTAGAAAAAAAATGAAATACGGTCGGAATAGAAGAGTAGTTAATTAGAAGAAATAAAGCAAGGATTGTCAGGTGTGCAATAAAATTGCGTTTGTTGAGGGCCAAACAGATGTTCATACTTGCAGCTTCATTAGACAAAACGTTAAGCAGAAAGTAAGGCAATAAAACAGTTCTTACTCCTAGAAAGCTCCCTGATAAACTGAAAACTCCTCAAACTAGTTCCGCTTTTGGAAACGATGCTATACGAGCTTCGTTTGGCTTAGCTTTAGGACCAAAAAATCATTAGGTGAGTAGAAGAGTTCTTTGTCTCTTTGCTCTTTCGTCTTTCACTAACACACCGAGTAAGAGCTGTCCAAAACATTGAGGCCGATGGTAGTGAACTGACAACATTTGACACATTTGCATGCTCCTATAGGTCATATGTATGTCTGCATGACTCTGTCGTTAAGTGGACCAAAGTGCACTTAAAGAATGCACGAACCTTCCTGTCATATCCGTTATTTATTCACACTACCCGACTCCACATAATGACTCGGATCCCAGCACTTCTATCATTCTGTTCGTTGCTTTCCATCCATCACCCAGGAACGTATTTCGAATTCTGCTTGTGGGCTAGCCTACCACTTGAAGACTTGCCTACTTCACTAGTGTTGATGAACATTGATAAAGTTAGTTTTTCCTGGAATGATACTCAATCAGTCGTAGGACTTTGTGGTTCGATGAAGGTCTTCTGCAGGCAAGTTCGATCTGCAGATTGCTTGGTGAAAGAAGGTCTGCTTGACCCTTCGCGGTGTCGAACCAGCGACGAAGTGTCTATTATTGCACGGTACCTTTAACTGCTATAATCTCCATCCACCATAGTACATTTAGCAGTTATCCACAAACTCTCATGACTTCAGAAATTGAAGCACTCTCATTGACATAGTTAAGGAACCGTTAAGCTGAAGAACTAAAAACTAATCACTAACCTGAGGCAGATTTTAATGGGACAAACAAAACACACAAAAGAAAACCTGTCTGCGACGATAGAAACTCCAAAGAACATGTAGCAAAGTGCAATGAGATAAACAACGGCTCGAAAAATGATCGAACATTCTTGCAGTTCGCTCTGAAACGAGAATTTTCCGGAGAGTTTCGCCACTCTTCGTATATTATTCTCATTATATAACCTCAATGATGATGAGATATTTTTAAAACTCTGGGTCGCAAACACCTGCGGTGGCGATCGAATCCGCTATCACCCTTCCCTAGGGCTAACGTGTTCATCACCACACCAAGTGGGATCTTCGTTTCCCCTTTCTACCAGCCATGTTTTAGTCTATAGGTGCTGCTTTTATCTCACCATCATTGTGGTGGTATTTCACATCAAACCCTGTCTTCTCATGATAATTTAAAACTTTCTCAAGTCGCTATTCTTTTGCAGGAAGGTCTGGCCGTCATGGACAAGCGAAGCCTTCTTATTCTTAGATTATGCGTATAGACAAAAACAAAACAGAGATGGAGATCATATCTTGAACTGTTGGATATCAATTTGGTTTCAGAATAATCTATCGCAAATTGAAAAGTTACGTAGTTGAAGGAGAAAATTGCAGTTATGCAACATATTTGGACAGCTATCAAAGGCTAAGGTTACAAGCTTTAATTTTAAGAGCTCACTGTAAGTCATCTACATCAAAAACTACGATGTTACCGAAATTGAATGGGCTTGATAAAATTTTGAAGCTATTACAAAAAGAACACACAGGAACACAAAGACAAAGATGAAAAATTTGGTACGACTAGGAAAACATCATACTATATTTTTACTTTTTTTTCAAGACAAAGTCTACACTCAGTCAAAGCATCAAGTAAAATCAAGTAGTTATGCTGCGATAGGAATAGTAGTGATCTGTACTTGTAATTTCTTTTTTTTCACTCTTTCTTTCTAGCAGTGCAGTCGGACACCTACAAACTTTTAGTAGTCTTTTCCTACATTACCCTCCTTGTATTCCACATAGCTAACACAGAAAAAAATATTTACGTTATGTCCCTTATCTCGAGATTTTTTGATAAAGGAGATAAGTCTACCTGGGGTTGCCAGACAGGAAGAATAACGCCAGGCGAGCACGGTTTGGATTGAGGACATGTCCCATTTTCAAATCCTTCAGCTCCGATGGTTAGGAGTATGACTGCAAGAAGTGGCAACGTAGGACCCATTGCTATGTTGGCGTCATTCCGATGATCTCTTTCTGAATTCCGAGAGAGCTTATAGAGCTATGTAATTTTGAGTCCAGGGCGGTGATGGTGGCGAAATGCGAAGTTCAAATTGCTGACGAGATTTTTAAAGAACGAATCTTTAGAAATTACGGAAATAATGGAAAAATATCGGAAACAGAGCCACAAACATAATCTCGAGAAAGCCAATATTTTCACAAAATAAAAGTGAGCGAAAGCACGTCAGCAGAGTTCTAGAGATGAAAAGGTAGTGAAAAACATTAACGAAAAAAAGAATGATTAAGTCTTTAAAAAGTGTAGGAATAAAACGCTCTATCTCCCCTCTTTGGGCGTGTGTGGCGCAGTGGTCGGAGACGTCCTGCAACACACACCTGGAATCGATCTCCGCGCCCATGGCCCACCAAGCCTTCTATCACTTTGTGGCCCGCAAATTGGTACCAGACTTGTCTGGCAAGATAGCAGCACTGCCTCGATACATCGGTAGCCCACCGCGATTCATTGTAAAGGCCAGATATGCATTCAATCACCTCTAACGATTCTTAGTAAAGTCGAATGTTTGGCGAATCCCTTAGGGATTAATAAACGCCGACATCTTTATTTTTTATCCTTATCTCCTTTCTTTAATAAATGAGTACTTTCCCAGCGAGATCTACGACTCAGTAAATTATGAGTGGAAAAAACTTTCGTTATTCCTTATCACGAGCAACGGCCGGTATTCAAAAATTTCCCTTCAAATAAGACGGAAGATTCTTTCAAAATGAAATTTCACCGTAAGAAAATCTTTTCTCGACAAGAAAACGCCCAATTTATAAGATAAGATCACTCGTTTATTTAATATGGTAAAACTAGGAATTTCAAGGCCGAAATTTTAGTCGTGAGTTACACTTCATTAAAGATTTGGCTCCAATTTACGGACTCGTTCATTCAAAGATTACTGTAACTGGTTTGCACAGTAGTTGCTCATCGAAGTCGGACAGTCGACAAGATCTTTCATCGGTTCCTCTTTGAAGGTAGGTAGCAAAATTTTTGAATAAGTTTTTCATTGCCGTTCATGAAAAAGTCGATACTCTTCTAGATTTTTAAGTTCTGTCATTGTGAAATATAACATCAATGATGCGGAGATATTTGCAAAACACCGGACTGCAAGTGCCTGTGCTGGGAAACGAACGCGCTATTGTCCTTTCTGGGGAGTAACGCGTTCACCACCAAACCATGCAGGTCCTTCATTTCGCCTGTCTCTCAGCTAGTTTTATCAATCAGTTTTCTCAGCAATCACCCATCAGCAGGATTGATCTAGGGGCCCAAATCGGCAACGAACCCAGTTAAGTTGAGGCGCTAAATAATAAGTTAAAATTGTGATTATAACTGCAGCTTCAACTTAACTGGGTTCGATGCCGATGTGGGCTCCCTAGATCAATCCCGTTGATGGGAGATTGCTAAGGAAACTGATCGATAGAACTAGTTGAGAGATAGGCGAAAGGAAGTATCCACATGGTGTGGTGGTGAACACGTTGCTCCCCAGAAAGGACAATAGCGCGTTCGTTCTCCACCGCGGATACCTGCGGTCCGGAGTTTTACAAATATCTCAGCATCATTGAAGTTATATTTCGCAACATATACCCTGCCATTAAAAAGAGTAGGCAGCAAATAATAAATTAAAATCCTTTCATTGTATTATTTTGCAACCCATTTCAATTCCGCCTTGATCCAAGATAAAAAATATAGCATTTGCAAGTATTCAAAGAATTTTATCATTCACAACGAATATGCGAGTAGTATGTCGCCTAATGGTCTAAGTAAAAAAGAAAGAATCGTTTACTTTACGGAATTTCATATTACGAAATATTCCATGACTAACGTGCCGAACATCAAACCAGTTTCTCGCATCAACCGAAATCACATGATTGCCAGGTGAACATCGTATCAGTGGATTAAAGGTGACTGAATTCTAAATAATAGATAGTAGGAAGTGAAGTAGCTGCAAAAAGGTGTTGCCAAGTTCACTTTCTATATCAGGAAATGGATGTGAACACCGGTGTAAGACAGAAATGGAAAGAAAAACAGTTAAGAAGGGAACGATAGTCCATGCATAACCGTCGTACTGAAAAGCAACAGGAATTCCAGAAACCTTCCAAAAGCACGTCTAAGAAGTAGGAATTTCGACGAAGATTTCGCTTTATCACCTCCATTCAGAATCCCATAGTAGTATATTAAGAGTACCTCTTGTGGACTTTACCTAAACCGCCATCTATTACTAATACTTTCGACGCTTTCAATACAGGCTTAGGCCATCCCGTAAATTAACGAGTAGACTGATCCGTCTTGTACGGCAAACCTTTTAGATTACTATAGAAAGCAAATAAACCAACGAAAATCATTGACGATTGGATAACTAGGACATCCTCGTGAACATCTGGGAAGACATAATGTCGGGATTATGTAGAACGCAGAAAAAGTTTAGACTTATCAGCTTAACTAAATGTTAGCCTCTCTGATCCGAAATGCACAAGAGATGTAGACTGGTGCCTTCCACACTATACAGTGTTAAATGGAGGAAATAAATGATAGGCATGGCGCTGATCAATTCCTGAGGGATGCGCAATGCGTATGACTTTATCAAGCAGTGCAGTGGTGATTAGATGTATATATGGAATATGCAGCAGAGCCCATCAGTGTATCACTTTAGTGTATTTATTTTCTTAGACAAGTCTGGAACGAATTTTTCAACTCTTTGAGTGTAGTTTTGTATGGAGAACTGGTTGTTGAGGGATTTCTTGTTGAACCAATTACATCATGCGCATTCGAAGGGTGCCTCTGGTCACTGCACTATCCGTGCCCCCACTCGGTGGTATCTGCTGAAATGTTATGGGCACAACAACATCATAACAGATATCGCAGTGCAGATTTGTAGTCATCGCTGCATTGAGATCGAGTGGACTACGCATAGATGGTGAAACAGAGTCGGTTTGTAATGAGCTGTGAAAAATAACGATAAGAAATCCACGACTAGAATAGAATTCAAACACAATAAAACCATAAAAACTATCGATAGAAATAGCTGAGAGACAGGCGAAACAAAGGACCCGCATGGCGTGGTGATGAACGCGTTGCTCCCCAGAAAGGACAATAGCGCGTTCGTTCCCCACCATAGACACCTGCGGTCCAGAGTTTTGCAAATATCTCAGCAACGTTGTGGTTGTATTTCGCTTAGTACCCTGCCGCGAAATTATAGTAGGCAGAAAATAAAAAAGGTATAACTATCTATAGTATGGGTAAAATCGATTTCTGTTGACGTCATGAGGATTTGTTCGAAGATAAAATTCGGTTATGGAAATAGACTACGCGGACGTCACCGTTCTCGACTCAGATCATCACTACCGACGGTAGACAAGGGGAAACAAAAAGGACCGAACCGGCACTGAGGCCGCGCCAGTAATGCATATTGGCTACTCGAGTTTTCAGCGATCTACAAGTGTTGCTGACTAAATGCAACGCAAAGATCTCGTTTGTATTTCTCACTAGCTGCCGTGTTTTACTTCTTCCTGCTGAGGAAATAACTAGCAAAATATTTCATTTGTGACAACATAAACATTGCCGTCATGAATGACGAACACATGACATTCGAGGATGAAACTACGAAGAGGCATATCTAAATATAACCACACTTCAGGCTTGCGATAGTTGTCTTTTTAGAGATGGAAAAGGTATTTCACAAAACAGCTTTCGCTCACTTTACACCGATAGTGGGGAGAATTTAACGCACTGCTTGGATACTGGTTTCATTTTCCAGTTTTGTTTTCACATAGAGCAAGGTTACACATGGTTCGAACCACAGTAGTTCTGTAAATAGATTCGTTGCCTCGCTTTCATCATTCATGAATACCTTCCCAGCTGCGTACCACCACGGCTGTTTGTTGGGATTTTTGGCCTTCTTAATGAATGTCATCGAGTTATGACCGAATGGATCCTCCTTTGACTCTTGGCACAGTCGCGTTAGGTCAGTGAAGCGCTTCCTAATCGGAAGGAGTTCTTTATGAACTACTCTTATGTCCACATAAGGATATCACGAAAACAAAACAATATCTCGTTTTTTCTGGAGTTTTTGTCTTTTTAAACCCAATTTAGCCTTCACTTCTTGAGTCAAATATTTACCTAGTTTTTTGCCTATTTCCCTTTTTTGCTTGCTTAACCCTTTGCACTCACTTAACCCAACTTTTTAACTTTTTAACCTTTTTTCAGTTCTAAATGTTCTCACTCAACACTTGTTCCTCTGCGCCATTCGTTCATCTTGAAATTCTTAGGATTGTAATGTTATATGAGGAATCTTAGGAAACGAGTAGGCGCTTATAGCGCATTCGTAAGAGGTCGCTCGCAATACATGCGTGGTCTTTGATTCAATCTCGTGCCCCGTCTCACCAGACTTTTCTTTCCTCCAGGGTCGGCAAATTCGTGACAAACTTGTCCGGTAGGGTAGCCGTACTAAATTGACAAATTGGTAAGCAAGCGCGGAGATAAAGTAGATATAGATATCTTGACGTATAGATGTCCATTCAATCACCTCTATGGTGCTCGATGAAGCAGAACGCATCGCGCATCCGTTATGGATCAATCAGTGACAAGCATTCTAGCTTTACTATTCATACTTGATAAACTATTTAACAGCCCACTTATGAAGAAGTGATCCTCAAACGAAAGTGCTTAGAACGATAGTAACTAAAGTTGTTGTCACACAAACAGTGAATTTCGTATGGTTTGTCTTTTTGTGGAAAGTCATGTGAAGATGGAGGTTGGACAGCGTCTACGAACTGCTTAACATATAGCACTCAAACAGGGCTTCTCAAGGTGAGGAGTCCGGCGTTTCCTTTAGGAAGCACAGCTAAGAGTAAAATAATACCAGAAATCACCGCCGTCCTGGCATCAAACTAGTCGCATGGTGGCAAATCTCACTCTCTCTCTTTGACCCACAAAGGCTGTTACTCTCT